TTAAAAATTGCCGTACCATACGGCTAAAATGAGATGCCGCCCCATCATGTAGAAACCACATACTTTCTCGGATATGAAGCGGCACTTCTTCCAACAATTCCTGCAAGTTTCTTCTAAACGGCACCCATTAATCTCAGGGGTAGTTCAAAAGGTCCTATAAGACAATAATTGTTTACGATACTGGCCCATAGATTAATTGCAAAGTCCTGCTGAAAACGGACTTGTCTTATGACGTGCGGATTTTCATTTGCCCAAACGTGGACGTTGTGATAATTAAAAATTCATCAACGTATAAATCCTGCGTCGTCTGATGCCAACATAATAGGAGGAAAGTCGAGATTTTTTTTCTAGATGTCGTAGAATCCAACTATAAAATGCAAAACGGCGTTGATAATCAGCGGGAGATAGAGTTTGTACACGCTGAACGTGGTATTGATATAATAACTGTCCTCGCAGTGTTTTCCAAATGGTCCACTGAGACACATTAAATCCTTGAGGAAGACTGGGCGTACTATTCTAGGTTCATCATGTACAACATCCAGCACCTCTTCTTCAGTGTTGACAATTCGCTGAGCACGTTGTAGACCTCATTTAACTCTTTTAGGTAACAAGGAACCCGTCTCTTGGAGTCGCTGGCGTGGATCTTGAAACATTCTTCTTGAGGGTAACCGTTTGGGAGGGAAACGAGTGCCATACAAACGCACTGCCACATGTACTACTTCGCGTGCTTCTTAATTCTCTAACTGAATACCTATTGACATCCATGTTAAATTTATTAAAACTTGTTGACAGATACTTTGACAAATTGTCAAACAGGAGTAGCTATTATTTAAGTATTGAATATATTGTCGTGGTTTTTAATAAAACAATTGTAAAAATTTCAATTTATCAGATGAATGCGAGCGGTTTTCAACCTTAACCAACACAAACACAATTTACAACTGTGGGTTTGCGTTATTAACTGCTCCATTGTCGTCTTCACAATACCCTAATTTTACAACAGCCGTATAAACTTGTAGTATCTGATAGACTATACTATCGCACGTAAAAGTGTAGTCGATACTCAGCAGCGAGAGGTATTAGGCTTCTCCGTATCCTCTTGGCGGGTTTCCATAAACCCATAAGCACTTACGGATATAGAATAAAGTGGACAAGAACTAAAATTTCCTGATTGGAAAGTCTTGAATTCGAAATGAGAACTTTATATCATAATGTACTTTAACTAGAGTGATATTTTAACTGAATAAATTTATTACGGGTAGATTTTAGATGGGAAGTAGTATTTTTTATTAACGGATCAATTTGATCCAGTGAGCAATCGAAAAAACTGACGAATTTTGACAATTTAAAAATGACACTAGACGAAATTTCTGAATGGACGTATAAAAATTAATATAACGTTGGTGTCTGTTCAAATGATGAAATATGTTTCCAGTTATTTAATTGTTTTTTACGCTTTTTTTCAATTTTCATTTTCTTCATCATTGACTTCATATTAATAATTTATTACATTTTTATTAGTTTTTTACACATATCTGACATTATTTCGCAGTAAATTCGTGTACATTTATACTGTAACATTACACCTCGTTACACTAGAAACTTGAATAGAACCATAACAAAGTGGTCAAAGTTTATTTGGATAGACCTTGTTACAAATACGTTCTTATCTCAGGCGCGGGAACTCAAGAGGTATAAATTTTACATACAGGAAAAACAGAAAAAAAGAAATATTACAAATTACCAGTCAAAAATTCAATGTTATGTAACTCACGAGGTACACTACCAAGTTAAGGGTTAGCTGTACATGTGTAAGGTATATTTATTTTGATAAAAAAAATGAATATTTTACAAAACATTTTGAAAGATTATTTTAAAATGTACAAAATTCGGTTATTTTGAAGTTCTGTACACAACATTATAAATTTCTGATCACAAATTCATGTAGTATTACAAATAAACAACGTTGTTTTTTTGTGCACAATGTCGTATCTGAATCCATAAATCCATTTAATTTTTGTTTGTTTGTCTGTGAGCATGTCTTAAATTACTGGAGGAATCTAATAACATACAATAATATTGAAATTTTCTTATTACATGTTTATACATTTAAGAACATTTTCCGAATGTAATCTAGGTTCCATTTGACCAACGTGTACCTATTCTGAAATTCGGTTTACAATAATTATGGTGTGACCAACAGCTTTTAATAAAAAAAAAATATGTTTTTCTCTCCCAAAATTTGATAACGTTATCTACAATTTTGCGGAATAAATATAATTCAAAATGTGCGTTCTGCCTGTTATCAAATCTTTTGTTCATTTTAATCATATCATTGACATAATTTTATTTTTTTGATCTCCACCAAAACTCGATAACAACTTTTCAAAGAAATATACTGATTTCCAAAAAAATCCGAACACCTTTAATTAGTTGACTGATAAACCTGAAAGTTTCACCAAATGTGCATTAAATCCAATCCTAGTAGAACTCTTCTTCATACTTTCAACTGATGTAAAAGTCAGGGAAATAAATATTTTGCTGTAATTTACAACGTACCGTTCAATTAACTCTGAACATACCCCAAACTTAATTCATATGTTCAATATTAAAAAAGACAGGTCAATACTTTGGACGTATGCACCCAATGTTACATACAAGTATCTACATGATAATTAAAAAAAATGTACCTAATCTTGTTTAAATTTAAATAATTTTCATAAAATAAATTTAAAAAATTATTCGACAAAAGAAGCAATACCATGCCAATCAGAGCATAAGAAATTTGCGTGACATTTTATCAATCAGTTATCTCGATCCATCAATTCCGCCCTTCGCAACAATGTTTAATATATTATTTGAAACTGTAACAACCACGGGAATGCGTCGAGTATAAAGTACTTGTGGTCTTTATACCACAAAAGAAATGAAACAAATTATGCAATGCATTGACTTGTGCTTTTTAAAATTGATTATAGGGACTAAGGTGGCGATGTGCAATGTTAAACAAACAAACTGCAGAAAAAAAAATGAGTCAGACTAAAAGAATTTGTCAAATTTTGAGTATAATTAAAAAAAATTATATGATCGTCTAGAAAATCACATTGCTGCAGCCTATTTTAGGCAACGGTTTCTTTTCCATAAAACTGGATTAGTTTGTCGATTTTTAGAAAATATGTTGTGATATAGACTTGTACAATACATATCCATAGATATAAGGACAAGAATATTATTTTTTCGAATAATCATATGTTTTTTAAGTTATCAGGGGTGTAAGATTAAAAAAGATATAGCAAGGATATGGAAAGGATTCGACATTTCATTCACTTTCATTGGAATATTTCCAAGACAACTTGATAAGGTGATTAAAAGAGAGGATCTTAACAGAGCAAAGAACGTGGCTAGAAAGATTTTCAAGTGTCGTTAATTTCTACCAATTTAGTATTAACATGTTCCTTGCAAAAACATTAAAACCTGTTTGAAGTTTCATTTAATGATCTTAACAAAATAAATTTGCTATAGAAGTTTACTTTGCTATATAGCTTACCTTAGAATCTACAAAATGGAACTCTTAAAATTTATTTTTTTATTCCCTCTAGAAAGACAATGATGTCATCTCAGAAATTTATTAGATAGATACATGTTTGTTAACAAGTGTGTTTCGAAGTGCATCGTTGCTTGAACTTTAGAAATATACTTTTATTTTTCAAATTGGAATACATTACATTTTATTTTATTATTAGAAAATTGATATATTTATCCCAATAAAAATTGTCGGTGTCATCTTAATTTATTAAGACATTCACGCTTCTGAAAACGTCAAAAATATTGTCTCAACTTTTTTAATTATTATTATTTTTATGATCATTACAAGTCGGCAAACAATTATGGATCAAGTAAAAAGGTATCAATAAAGTGTTGCTAATTAGTACAAATTTATGATCCTGCAAACCAGAGTTTCACTTTCTTTAAATTATCGTGTGGTTTTATTCAGGTGAATTTCTTAATTGCCGTTCTTATACATAAATCGTTCGACCTCTCCAGCTAACCCAGAAATCAGACATGAAATCTCTCTTCTACTTAATCCACGAAGATTTACTAGTAATCGATCAAGTTGCTCTAAATACGGCCGTGTGACCATCAATAAATAGTAATTCTCAAGTAGGAAAACGTATGGTCGAGTGGTTTGAAGTTCTGGTTTCACTGCACGTACTGACTGCATTTAGAGATACGAACAGGTGTTTCGAAGGCAATGCCACAGCCTACACCACGATACACTGCCGATATCACACTAATCAGAGGAAAAGGAGTTGAGAATGGACCATTTTTGGCTAACAATAGGTACTCCGATGAAGAATTTGCGTTTGGAATGATTTTAAGACCGATAGTAAATTGTTGGTAGCGTTTGTTAGATAACCATGAAATCGGGTATGTTTATCTAGTACCGACATTTACGATCAGAGGATTATAGAATTGCTATTTATTCGTTATCAATATCTGGAAGGATTTTCCATTTCGGACAATTGCTGATGAAGCAAAATTTTTTGAAACCATAAAAAATTAATTTCTAGCGGTAAATAGTTTGCTACCGAATGGAGAATAACAGTTGCAACAGTGAGCTTTTGTCTGAGCTTGTGGTATTATTGTTCTTGAAGGAACTTTTTTTATTGGGATGGGCGAACAGATAGAAAAACTCCAATGATTAAATCTCTCAGCCTAGCACATTAAATTGTTCACGCGATCTCCCGAGAATTTACTGAAGTGGCGTTAAATTATATGATTGTTTCTTAAAAAACCGAATCAATTACCAACAGGAAACCCTGGAGGATGAATTTTTATTATAGAAACAAAACATTTAATTATGTTTTGTGCTTTGCAATGAAATTAGTTTTTGAATGAACGTTTACGAGGAATTAATTACTGTCTTAATTGATTTTCTTGTAGCTTAGTTTAATTTGACTCATGAGGTTTAATACTTATGGTTTTGTTTTCTTTTGCAGATAAAACGATCACCGTGCCTCTATGAATTCTTCAGTCAAGGGTGAGTTTTCTTTTATTATTTATAAACACTAATCGTTGAAAAAGCAGCGGGGCGTTTTACTTTTTTAGTTTATTGGATGGTTTTTTTAGTATTCCTTCATATTCATATTCTTTAATCTCGACTTTAGCTGTGAACAGAGAAAACGTTTGAAAGTTTTATGAGCAGTTATACTTTAATTACAATTTATGATTATAGCAAATAAACGGGAAAATTAACCTCGAACAATAGATCCGAATAACAAATTAGATGCTTTTACAGAGGCAATTTAAGACGGTGATGACTGTAATTTTTCCATCAGTTTGTGGAGCAACTCAGTCCTGTTTTTGCTTTAAGAATAATTGCAACAGGCATGGTTCGTAAACCATGAAATTAAACGTGAATAACACATACCTAGGTAAAACACAATACAATTTGTCTGAAACACCAGGGAGTGGATAAAGCTGTCTACTTATTTTCCTCGATATCGTGTCCGAGCTAGTAATTAGCAAGAAACACTTCATTTTCAACAATAAGCACAGATATAGATACACAGACGTAGCTTTTGTTTCTTTATGTGTTTTTTTTTAATGTAAAAAAGTATATTCATGAGGATGGATTTATTAGATTTTACATTTTTAAATGGAGATTTGTTTTCTGTCTTTAGTTTAACAGTAATTCACTACCTTAGAAATAAAAATGACAAATCCCAATAAATTTAGTGGTATAAACATCCTGACTAGAATTCACGTAAATATGATCCAGTGGGGAAAGGAAAGAAAACAACAGAAATGAATGTCAAAATTTTGTAGTGTAACATAATGCTTACATTTTTTTTAACATTTCTAATAGAATTTCTAGTGACAGTATTGGGCATACCTATCTCTAGTGCTGCATCAAAGTCGCCGTGTATAATGAAGTGACGATGAAAATTAGTGCCAAATTTGATTGTTCTGAGATGAGTAATAATTGGTTCAAATATATTTTTCATATTTATTATTATACTATCCTCAAACATATTTGGCGTTTATGACTTCACACCAATTTGACTCCCATTATAATTCAATAGGCCGTCACAACCGGATGTCTTAAACCCGCTCACCGATACCTACCTGAAAAGACCTTTTCTGGTAAAAGCACAGGGCAGGACTGAGTTTTGCATTTACCGACAACTGCGCCTTTCGAGTTTTTTATTTTAAGTAAAAACAAAGTAACTTTGTACTCAATCATTTTTTATTACAGCACAACTATTTACTTATTAACTACTACTGCTTATTTATTGATCGAAATAGTCACTGTCATCATCACTCGACTCTTCTAAATTAATAATTAACGGTGTTATCAACCGTGCCCTGTACTGGTCTTCTTCTTTTGTAGAATGTCGTACACAATTGGCCCACATTTCGGCAGTTATTTTGGAAGCTTCTTCCCTAATTATGTCAATTGTTGCACTACTAAATTTTGGTGCCGTATTATTCCTTCTTATATTATTTTTCATTTGCGACCAGATTAGTTCGATGGGGTTAAATATACAATGGTACGGCGGAAGTCTAATCACCCTAAATCCACGATCTCGCGCCATAGCATCTATTTTATATTGTTTCTCAAACTTTCGAGTGTGTAACACTTCTAATAATTGTGTCTTTGTGTAATTTTCTTCAAAGTATAAATCATGTTCTGTAAGGAAATTTTGAAATTTGAAAATTTTAACAAACAAAATTACTCTGAGTCCGGTCCTTGTCGTCTCGACCGTCCCTGGCACGTTGAAAAGGTCTTTTCAGGTAGGTATCGGTGAGCGGGTTTAAGACATCCGGTTGTGACGGCCTATTGAATTATAATGGGAGTCAAATTGGTGTGAAGTCATAAACGCCAAATATGTTTGAGGATAGTATAACTTACTAAACTTCTCTAGTTGGCCATGACATAATTGAAACAGCTGACGTAAGTGTCATGGCCAACTAGAGCAGAAATTTAATAAATCACATGACCGAAACTTTTAAAAGTACATGAAGTAGACTGTAACAGTTGGTAGCGCAATGACAATTCACGTTCATCAGATTAAATTTTAAGAAAGCGCTAGTAACTTTGGTGGTGGCCTTTCCCTCGTATTTCTCTACTAATTTTTGAATTCGTTTTTTTTTCTGTTTTGGTTAATTATTATCAGTAATTAAATTAAAAAGATTCTTGGTCCACCTCTTGGATATTCAATTACCCATTTTCATGCTTCCAAATGTGCTTCCGTTTTTCATATCCTTTTTGCCATTTGGAAAAGACAAACACAGACGGATAAGTAAAATCACTAACAGGGGATGCTAGAGAACTTTATTTTCCCCCCTTCTTATTACATTTTTTTTTGTTGGGAAGAATAATTGCATTGCTGTGATGCTTCTCTGTACATGGCCTATGATAACTACATCAGTCATATGACCCGGTAGCTAATTAGCATTCTTGTGACCAGATGGGGTATGCTAATAAACAATCGATGTACGTGCTTAATTAGAACGTCGGTCTGTTGAATGTGCGTACGCAACTTGGATGATGTCTTACTTGTAGTGCGTGACACACGTGAGTTGCGTGTCCACACGATGATCGTGTGTGCCACGGTTATATTTGTACAAAGGAAACGAGACAGCCAGCCTTTTTCCAATATAAACTCGAAGATTGTCTTATAAGCTTATAACACACCGCTATTTTTTGACTGATTAATTCGTCTGTTAAACAAGAATTGGCGGCTTCAAAATTAGCCCAAAAGTTGGGATTTTAATTCCGACTATGGGCAAGATGTCGCCGTCTCTCCGTTCAATTACATTGTGAGTCATTCGTCAATATTACACAGCGATGGTAGCAGATGCGTCCGAACGCGGAAAATATGCTAATATTACCAGAAGTTGTTCTTCCTCACTTATTTGCTCGTTTGATGCGCGCTTGGTCATGAAAGTAACACCTGAAACAGGCTATTCGCATTCCCCAACTGCTCCTTCGTCGCACACTCTCGACTGGAACTCAAACTTCTTCACAAAGATACATAACATCAAAGATGGACTTAAGCACTGGGAATTACATTTGTATCGTCTTGCTTCTGAACGAGTTCTATGTAAATGGCGCTTTTTTCAGTCTTTTGCGGCGGTTCACTGAAAAAAATGTATTTTCGATGCGAAATTATGCAAATATTTGTTCACATATTTTGCTTAAAAGGACTTCCAAAGACACCTGGTCTGCTTCTCTTTCACATAACTTTAAAGGCAATTGTATTTTGCTTGAAATTAATGGTTCTCTTTTTAGTTATTTTTCCTCATAAAATTTAAAGGTAGCCAATTCATTCGTTGTTTTGAAAATAAGCTTATAGTGCATCCTCAAAATCTACTGGGTTTCTAAATAGTTTCCTTCATTCAAAAAGTTGTAAACAGCATTATTCATTGAGTGTTTTCAAGGTACTTTACCATATGAAATCTACTGTCAAAATTGTATCCAATGTTGCCTCGTGAAACTATAGCACATTTAAAAAATAAAACTCGTTTTTTTTTTCGACAAAACAGAAGTATCAGGTCTTTCAAGAATAGATTTTATAAGCAACTTTTTAAGTGCCAAAGAGGGACTTGTTTTTATTTGACATTACGGGATTGATTTCACATGGTTTTAAGCCTTACTATTTATTATTGGGTTATTTTTGTTGGGTTGTCCTCCTAATACAATTACGTCTTTCTAATATTTAAACCCAGCTTCCCTCACACCTCAAGTCAAATATTCAAAACAAATTCGGTTTTAGATTAAAAAAATGGTTGTAGTTTTTTAGAGATTCTTCTAGAACTTGTTTTTCTGAATCCATTAATGTGTCACGCTTTAATCACTCGTAGTCCTCCACTGACCTCGATTCGCTAGCATTATGTTACGAAAACATACTCTGTTGAATTGTTTATATGTATTTGGTCTGGCGCGGAGTCTCTGGTTGCTGTTGAGTCACCCTGCATACGCACTTACAAACATTTAACCAATCATAATGCCAGTGTTGAACACTGAAAGTGTCGAGGAAATGGGGTGACCCTCAGTAACTTTGAGTGCATTAATAAAGTGCAAGGCTATGTTTCTAGTGAGTTTTCATGGTGGAAAATGTTGTGATCAACATATCAACAAGGATACTATGCCAATTCCTACACGTGCAGAGTAATACTAATAAGAAAAAATGAGATGTACCGTGATTAACAAAAAAAAAAAAAAAATTGGAAACGCCGCGGGAGGTCGACCTTTTCATCTGCAAACAGAGCGCTCCTCCACAGGTGTATGAGTCAGGTTTTCGTATTGTGTAACTAAAGAAGAAGGCTTAATTAATAAAAATTATAATAATGATAAATAAAAGCAAGGCCGATTCATAAAGCACATTCACAGGAGAATATTATTTTATAAAATTGAATTAACATTTACTAAGCAAAATTTTAAGGTGAAGTAATTACAGTGTGAGTGAGGATGATCAGACAAATTTTGGTTAGCGTCTTACCATCTACACGATATCCCTAACACATATACAATTTAACAATAATCGGTCCGGTAGTTTCGAAAATTATCTGCCTAATAAAATCAATACAGACGGACAGACGGGCAGACAAACGGACAGACGAAACACGCGACCTATTTTTTCGTACTGTAGGGGTATCATAATACTTCTTTCGCTTGCGCTCGGGAAAAAAAGATAACAAAGGTAGTTGTTCTCAGTCAGAATATGAGAATCAATTAAATTAAGCCCTTTTCGATTATGTTGTAAAAAATACCAAATGTCCCAGATTTTCGATTTCCTTGTTATAGTTAGGAAAATAGTATGTGCTACAAACTAAGTTAAGTGACAGGTGGAGTAGTATGCAAAAGTGGTCTGTTTCAGTGCCACAAACTTTCGGGTTTTAAACAAAAGTGTTTCTTAAAAATATGTAGATTAGGGTGATTCAAAAAAAAAAAATAATTTTTTTTTTCGTGTCAAAGAGGTTCAAAAGTTTCTTTTCAACGTAAAAAAATACCAGTTAAAAGTTGAGCTCTTA